GGGCCCTGCTCTCTCAGAGGACCTGCACTGGGTTCCCAGCACCCCAGTCGGCACCTCACATGTGCCTATAACTCCAGCTCTGGGAGACCAGACAGCCTTTTCTGGATTCTGTGGGCACCCGCGCTCATGTACCCACACAGAGATATATAAATACTGACAATTTTTTTAAAAATCATTAATGAATAAATAAAATAAAACAAATTTCACATGTGGAGCAAGCAGGATGGGCCTGGGTAAGGGTACTTGCCTCCAAGTCTGATGGCCTGAGTTTGATCACCAGGCCCCACATTGTGGAAGGAGAGAATCGATTCCCACGGGTTGTTCAGACTTTCATACCTGCACCGTGGCGCACATGCTCCCTTCCACACAGAGTAGATCAACGGAAAAGAAAGCGGGGGCAGCTTTAGGTATGGTGCCACTGTATCTTCTTTTTGCTGACAAGGTAAGTGAGGCTCTCCAAGACTCACCACCCAGAACCACAACGCCAGTCAATGGTAAAGGCAGCATCTGAGCCCGCCTGAACCTCAGAATCCCTGATTCTAACCACAGATTAGAGCCTGGAAGGTAAGAAAGGTAGTGCCATACGGTCATTAGATCAGCTGCATTCTCTCCCCATGTTAGTTTCTTCTCGATTGCTGTGATAAAACACCATGACCAAGGCAGAAGAAAGAGTTTATTATTTGAGTGTGTGTTTCAGAGGGATAAGAATCCATCACCATCATTGTAGGAAAGCATGGCAGCAGGCAGTCATGGTCAATGGAGCTGGAAGCTGAGAACATACATCATCTTGAACTGCAAGCAGGAAGCAGAGAGTGAACTGGAAATGTCTGTGGCTTTTAAACTTTCACAGCCTGCCCCTCCCCCCTGCTGTGGATACCAAGCTGGCTTTGGAGATGTGTAAAAGTTAAAACCTTCCTTTTTAAAAAAGAAAAAGGGAAGTGCTGCGGGATGGTCTGTATGTCAAATTGCTCTGATTGGTCAATAAATAAAACACTGATTGGCCAGTGGCTAGGCAGGAAGTATAGGCGGGACTAACAGAGAGGAGAAATAAAAGAAGAGGAAGGCAGAAGGACTCACTGCCAGCTGCCATCCTGACAAGCAGCATGAAAAGATGCCGGTAAGCCACGAGCCGCGTGGCAGGGTATAGATTTGTGAAAATGGATTAATTTAAGCTATAAGAACAGTTAGCAAGAAGCCTGCCATGGCCATACAATTTGTAAGCAATATAAGTCTCTGTGTTTACTTGGTTGAGTCTAAGCAGCTGTGGGACTGGTGGGTGACAAAGATTTGTCCTGTGGGCAAGGCAGGAAAACTCTAGCTACACCCCCCCCACACAATCACATACTTCCTCCTGAAAGGCCTTCTAAACCTACCCAAACACTACCTCCAACTGGGGACCAAGTATTCAAACATCTGAGCCTACGAGGAAAGTTTCCCATTCAAACCACCACATTCCCAATCTCACACTACCTGCCCAAGAGTCATCAGGACCTCAGATCTTCTCCACAGTTTTCACTCCAGATTCTGCCTCCCTGAGTGACTTCATCCATCACCACGCAATGCCTTGATGTCTTCAACCCCATAAGCACTTCCACATCATCCACCTCCTGTGCCTGTATCTGGCACTTTAACTTCCTCTCTTGTGGCTATTTCTTGTTCTCTGTAACTAACCTTTCCCCTATGCTGGGGATGAAACCAGAGCTTTCTGTATACTTGGCAAGTGCCTCTCTGCTGAAACAAACAGTCCTAAATCTATTATCTTGCTTCGAGCAGAACTCCTTGATGTCCCCTTTTGGCTTTATCTGTGTTTATTTATTTTCCTTTTAACCTGTACCCCTGACAACATATGCTTTGTGGTTGGTTCAGCTCCTCAGATTCCTTATCCTCACTGTACCACTGTGGTGGTTTGAAAAAAAATGGCCCCCAAAGGGAGTGGCACTATTAGGAGGTGTGGCCTTGTTGGATTGGGTGTGGCCTTGCTGGAGGAAGTGTGTCACTGTGGAGGTGGGCTTTTGTTGCTGTACTGGCTCTACCCACCCGGGTACCCTGGGGCCTAGGGGGTAAGGAGACACAGAGTCAATGACACAGACTCCAGGAGTTGCAAAGCTTTTTATTAAACAAAGGGCTGAGGTGTTTATGTGTGGGCTGTTTGGGGGGTTTTGCTTCTATGGCTATTGTGGTGTTTCTTGATTTGGCAGTTGTCATCTTGGGGGTCCAGT